ATGCATATAAAACATTAGAAATTAGATATTTGTTTAATTTTTATTTTGTGTTTGATTGTTAAAACAAAAACAAAAAAATGTGTTGTTTGTCTCAATAAGTTGTGTTAATTTAAAAATACAGTGGTTAAATTTAAACATTTTTTCTATTGCTCTTTGTTTTAAAAAAGGTTATAAAAAATGTCAATAATTATTGATACCGAACGATATGAAACATTATATTGTTGATACATTTTTTAGCTATATCGCCCAGCCCTACGCAAAATATTAATGACATAGTTTAATTACCTCAACATGACTGGCAGTACCCCTTTGAGAGCTCCGTTATCAGTTGTAGCAGTTGTGTTTGTATCAATGACAGACCACTAGATGGCGCGATTGAAGAATCAGAGTTGTATTGCAGGGAGCCATGTAGAAATATAAATGAACGATGCATGGTTCTGCTCTAAGCATGTAACATTAAGTTACAAGTTTGTGAAAATACTGCCAGTGCCAGGTACGTAAAGCAAATGATGAATATACTTAAGATTCACAAATACCAAAACAACGTGTCTACACCAGACGCGAGCGGCACGATGTGACAAAAGCAAATAGAACCCAGTGATGTTCTCTGCTGTAAATGCGGCACGACGCAACACAAATCCATGACAGTAAACTGATGCCCCATTCTGTTTCTGACGAACTCCAGCGCTCTGACACAAAGAACAATTGCATCTGCAATGTTTACTTTGTTGTGTCCAGTTTGGTGAAAAGACAAGAAAATATGACTAGGCATATCTCACCCTCAGATTCACCAGTAAAAAGGTGGATAAACAAGTTTAGACGGTAAGTAGGCTAGTTAAGTATGTTAATCAGAATATTTCAAATCGTTATATATAATTTTGCAATCAAGGTCATGTCTGAGAGGGTGCATATTTATATTCATAAGAGAATCATGTTAAAAAAGTGTTTCCTCAAAAATATGCAGCTGCACAACTGTTTACAGCATTAAAATAATCAGAAATGGTTACTGAGCAGCAAATCAGCATATTTGAATAATTTCTGAAGGATCATGTGACACTGAAGATTGGAGTAATGATGCTGAAACTTCATCTTTGATCACAGGGATACAGTATATGTTAAAACATTCAAATAGATATTTTAAATTGACACATTTCTAAAAAAAAATGTCTGAAAATATTTTTCTTTACAAAAGAGGGGCCCGGCAGAAAAAGTTTGGGAACCACTGCCATATTAAATCCATACAGAAAGCAGTTTATCATGTCACGCCCAGTTTAGGGAGCTAATCACTCTAAAAAAACAAAAAACAAGAGCACCCTTAGTTGAAACTGTAATAATAACATATTTGGCAAACTCATCTGTGCATATTTGCATTTGAGCTATGGAGAGCATCAGATGTATACAGATGTATATACGTTGTTGTCACACTATATAAATCAGTCTCACACCACCATTCAACGCCGAGTATTGTTTAGCGCTTATCGCCACGTCAGTGATAGCAACATTACGGAGCCATTTCCGAGTTTTGTTTAGTTCCTAGTTCCTAGCTCTAGTCTAGTCACGTCTAGTTTTGTGCCTGATTGCCTGCTTCCTGATCTCCTGCCTGTCTTAGATTCTTCTTTTGCCTAGCTCTCTGGACATTGTTTGCCTATCTCAGACCCACGGTAGCCTTTGGATTACTCTTCGTCTTGCCTCTTCTATTACTGTTTGCTGTGTATCGACCAATGCCTGTTTCATGACCACACCTTTAAATAAAAGCAGGCAGATGGATCCGCAAGTCTCACGTCTCTGTCGCCCCATAACACTTATACTGTGCTGCTTATACTGTATTACAAGTATAATTATATGATTATGACAATATTACAATATTTTTGGTCATTTTATAATGCAATACATTTCTCATAATATAATAATTGTTATTACACTTTGAGGTCAAGATTTTATTACATTTTGAGAAAATTATTACATTATGAACATTTTATTACAATAATAATGTAATACTTATTACATTATGTGCAGTTTTTGCATTATGTGTAGTTATTACATTATGAGTTGCTACAGGGCAGCTGTGGCACAAACCTTACATTGGGTAGTGGGGTCTAATAAATTTGACAAGCACATACTAAGCCACTGTGGGGAAGAATAAATGCATAAATCTAAAATATAATTGGATTTCTGATTAATTCATCGAGGCTTAAATGACAGTCCAGTCCAGTTCTGTCATCAGTTTTACCTCAGAGTTACTCAGCAGGAAAACGGGAACCTCACACCACAAGTAATGCTCAGCAGAGAGGAAGAGAATTAAACTGACCCTGAGGTGAATTAACACCCCTGCTGCACACAGGAACCCAACTTAGCCTAAATGAATAGGGTGGCGCTCACTGGCTGCAGTATTCATTCCTGATGATTAGTTATCGTCGGTGTTGCAGACACTTTTATGCAAAGCAATTTACTAATTGTAAGGAGCATGTTGAGGTTAACTGCCCTGCACTTACAATCATCAGGTTTAAAGCATGGCTTATGGTCAAAGGTATGAGGAAGAAGAACCCAGGTTCAAGGTTGTACAGTCAAAGTAGCTTCCACCTTGTGAGATTTTTGTATTCAAATCGAGAGTGCAAACCATTTACACCATACAATTACACTAACATGCATACTGAAAGAGGTGATTGTGTGAGCATAAAGGCTGCTCTCCACTTGCTGCAAAGAATAATAAAGTAAAATCAATGTTCAGCAAGTGTGTGTGTGTGGATAATAGCTGCTCTATGCTGTGGTCAGGCCAGCATAGATGATTCCACACTGCATCACATCGACTGGTTGCACTCCAGATTACTAATCCTGAACAGCTGCCTGCTGTTAAATTATACACGCCGACAGGTGTTAAGCACACATACACACAAAACACAAGAACACACATTTATAAACATGCAAACATAGATCATACATAGACCTACACGCATACATATGCTAGGATATGTATTGATCATTGTATGAAAGATTCAGTGGCCTGTATATATTATACCTGTGTATGAAGTAATTAGACACCACTGATAACAACATTTGGGGGGCATGGCGTGTTTTATGTAAAGCCATAATCTTTCTATGAGCTAATTACTCAAGGTTATAGCTAGGAGTTATGGCTATGTAACCAGGGCAGAATTACACCCTTTCTGGGTTTTCTAGATCAAACGTGTACTTTAATAAAGTAATTAATCAGATTTTTAAGCACAAAAAGGATTTGTTTAGCACTCCTCCTTATGGCTATGGAACATTTATTTATTTATTTTTTTTGTGGCTGCAATACTTGCTCTGCTCAAAAGGGGGAGCTCTTAGTGAAAGCAGCAGTGGCGGAGGTCCATGAAAACAGATGCCTGTCTGTTATAAGAATCACTGGTTAGATTTTGTAGGGAGTTGATCGATTCTGTCTAGTTCATTTTCAACAAGTTCCAAGGCTAACTGTAAAATATGCTTTCATAATGAAAGCTTACGAAGCTGGATTTGCAATAAGGTAAACATAATTACATCTAAGACCATAGATTTGCTGAATAAATAATGAATGAAAACAGACAGTGTGAAAGAGGTATTTCCAAAGGTATGTTTTTAATGCAACATTATTGTAAAATCGTAACAGAAAGGTTTGCTGACAAAGAGAAAAATCCTTATAAGGTCCCAATAAATTTTTCACAGTCACTCATGGATAAACCATTCTGGTAAGAGTATTTCGGTGTTCACAATAATGATAACAGAGAACTGGACCACCAACAACAGTTTGTATACACTGTAAAATCTGTCTCGATTAAAACATCCTCATGCACACACTCACACACGCTCAAACACACATTAAACATGTTCAAGTATACAAACAAATCTTGGTTTGATTTTAGGTACATGCAGTGAAATTCTGTATAAAAATAGACATTTGTATTGCTTTCTGTACAAACACATATAATATACACATATATAAATACGGAGTAAAAAAAAACATAAAAGGTGTTTACAATCACATTGTGTTCACTTTTGGACAAAAGACCAAAAGTCATACTAAGTAAACAATATTAACCGAAATGCTTCCACATGCGACTCAATCAAGGCTACAGCGCTGAACTCTCTCCCTTTCTCCTCCTTTCAGTGATTAGTTCACTCTACGAAAATAGAGCGAACGAAAAAGAAAGAGATAGGGAAATGTTCTTTAACAGATTGTTGTTTAGCTCTGGCGTACATCCTGAAGCAATTTGTTAATTTCGGCAACCAGTTCGCTAGCGTCGACAACTTCGTGTCTCATGTCGTTGCGTTTTCCCTGGCGCTGGCTGAGCACACTCTCTATGTCGTCCTCTTCGTAGTTCTCTGGGATCTCCTCCATCGCCGGCAGCCATTTTAAATGCACCTGCGATGCCGCGTGATTGGTCGAGCCGTGTCCACTCACCACGGCACCTCCAGGATTCTGAAAGTGAGTACTGGCAGCCCACAAAGCAACGCCCTGCGGGTAGGTGGGGCCTGTAGACGACGCCTTACCCGGCAGGAAGTCCTTTCTGATCTCCATGCCGATGGAGGAAGTGGGCAACCCAGCGCATCCTTCAAGCTCACTGACCTCAGCGTAAGAAGTTGGCAGGAGACGCTGGAAGACGTTGTTCATTTCTGACAGCAGCGAACTGCCGCATTCCTCCTCGTTGTCCTTTCCAAAGGTAGAAAAGCTCTTCTTAGCTGAGTCGACTGACTGCTGGTCCTCCTCGAGGACCTGAGGCCTGCTCTCTTCTCCGGGGATGTACATGTTCGCACGGTAATCCGAAGACACTTGAGATGGCATCCAGCACTGGTCAGAGTGACCCAACACACGGCACTCCTCCGTACACAATCTCATGGCTGCTAAGAGAAAGACAAAGAGACATTTTTCAGTGAGTTTTAGGAGCAATTGAGAGCAAATTTCATTTCAATTTGGATTGTAAACATCAAAACTATCATTTTAAAACTGTTTTTTAATATCTCAGTTGTTTCTCCATATCAGAAAGGAGATTAACTGGGAAACAAAAGGAGGCTTTATTTTCTGAGAAAAACACCCCAGAAATCTCACATGTGTGAGATTCATGGTTCTAAAAGAGGCTTTTCGCACTGATGCCATAGAAGAGCCATTGAACGGTTCATTGTTTTCTTAATATGAATAACATTGGAACATTTTCCACTATAAAGAGTCTTTTGTGCATTGAAAGGGTTCCATGGATTTTAAAGGTTCTTTCTGGAACCATGAATACCAATAAATAATCTTTATTCTTAAGAGTGTAGCATTTCTGACAAGATCTTTACAATGTTTCAAAAATGAGATTTCAATATTAAATACAACATTTCTCATTTAATTCCTCTGAGACCACATTATCTACTATACTTCTCAGCCACTGTCTAACTTGTATCTAATTTTATTGCTAGAAATTTTAGGAGAAACCCCTGAGACAAATTTGATACTGTACTTAAATGAAACATACATCTCCTGAGCTATGAAAGAGCAACCTCTGAGCAATGAAATTTCCTCTGGGCATGTAAAAAATGGGAGAAAGGAAAGTGAGGAAAACAAAGGGATGAAAGAGAATGGGAAAATGAGGAGGGATGATAAGGTTAGGAACTTAGAGAAGGATTTCGGAGGTGGGTGGGTGCGTCGGGGAGAGAGCTTGAGAAGCTGAGGAGATCGAGAGTTTGTCATTCTTCTATTCCAGTTTCTCTTGTGGAGGCTGACATCCTTTGTTAAGCTGGATTATTATTCATTACTCTGGCAACGTTGCCTCACACAAATCAGATATGACTGAATTTGAATATTAGAGACAAAGCAGCAAGGGAATAAAAATGGAGAGGACAAACTGGAATTGGGATGGAGGAAATGGAACTGAGTGAAAATTACAATAAACTGCTTTGGTGAGGAAAGGGTGAAACTCTAATCAATGCACACAGGTTGCTTCTTTCTCTCTATGAAAGAGGAAGAGCAGGGCTGAAATAGTGGCCCTCTGGGGAGAGAAAAGAGAGTGTGTGCGTGCGGAAGGGGGGTTTAACTGCATTGTGAAAGCAATTATGGTGAATTTTCCTCAGTTCAGATTTTGAAAGCATAGGGCTGTCAGAAGAGAATGAATACAGGGAAATAACACTCCGGTCCACGCCTCCACGCATGCACATACACTGTCTTAAGCTACTGATAACAGAGATTGACACTGCAAAAGGTAGTGGTTAAAAAAATAACATGATTTCAACCAAGAACCAGATAATTTAAAGGCTTTATCCTTAATTTTCACATGCATATTGAGTATAAAAGCACAGTGCAGGGCATTTAATTTATACCTGCACCTGTTCACAACGTAATAAAAGTAAGCCACTGTAGACGGGGTGTTAAACTGCAGCATAAATGCGATGTGCTCGATATAATCAAGCTGATGAATGTCATAATTCAGGGTGATAAAAAGGTAAGAAACCGCATGAGAGACCAATTGGACTTCATTTCTCACCTGGGTGGAGACGCTGGTGTCCGTCGCTGTGGAAGAGGTCTCCGAAGCCGTCGCCTAGCAACCGGTCGATGGGCGAATCACGGCCCATCTCGCAGTCGCTGTCGCCCGCATCACTGTCGCCACGCCCACTATCTTTCAGACTGAACTTATCCATGTCCTGGAGGGCGTACCTGCACACACATTCACACAAGCACAGTTACAGGTTAAACTTGATTCTATGGAGTATGCAGCATAACATATAGGCTAATTATTAAAAACTATTTACAATATTCAAGTTCAAACAATCACTAAAATCAATTACCTACAAAAAATCTGTTTAAAAGTGATTCGTTAGAGATATCAAACATGTACCACATTCAGAGTGGCATTATATGTTTGATTGTATTAAGTCAGCTAAAACACTTAAAGTTTCCCAAAAGCATCTGTATGCATTGCATACAGTCTAGGAACATGCATATGCAAAACAGGCAAGCATACGCCCCACCCATCATTTTAACTTGCACAGACTATATCTTTATTTAGCCATCATATAAACAGATCTATTCAGTGATGTCTCTTTGGCACCATGCATTTATCTCACACCCCAAAATGTCCCTTACATATTTTGATTCACTAGCAGAGGCGTGCAAGACAAAAAGGGCAACTATCTAAAGCTAGTATGTTTTTAAATCATCAACTGGACATTGAAATGCATTATTGTATGGAACAATGGTTTCAACAATATGCACGGGATAAAATGACATGATCCAAGAACAAAACGCAGATGAGAGGAAAGAAAAAAAAGCACAGAAAGCAAGCTATGACCTCATGTGAGGAGCAGTCCAATCAGGATCTGCGAACGTGGGTGACCACGGCAACAGGGAAGTTCTGTCCTATTCTACCACAAACATTTTAGAATACCTATCATCCAATCCGATTGAACCAGCAGCACACAACAGGTTGAGTATCACTACCCATCTACTCTACCATACTATTTAGAGCACATCATGCCCAAATAAGGAGTTGGAGCTTGAAGCGTAGTATTTGTTTGTTTGTAAGTTTACCTGTAGCTGCGAGAGTATTTGTTCCCTCTGAAGCTGGGCCGCGGCTGATACTGACCCTGATGGAGTATTGAGAGGAGCTGTGAGACTTGCTATAGCAAAAACAGATGACATAAATAAAAATAAATACTGATGGAACACGACTATCATTCACACACACACACACACACACACACACATGAATGAATAAATGAAAAGCGTTAGTGCGAGAACAACACACAGTTACCTGAATGTTATGTTGACATTGGTGAATGAAAAGATGAGTATAAACATGGACAGATAATTCACGGGCTCTTTATGAAGATTAGCATCAATTACATTGTTTAAATATGCAAGTTTTGCTTTTACCTCCACAGGGGGCGTGGCATGTGTAAGTTCCAGGGCGAAGTTCTCAGGGATGTGATTGGAGGAAATAGTGACCACGTAACGGAATCGAGCTCGGAAGTTTGGACAAAACATCAGCGACATCTTCACGAAGTCTGGCGATAACTGTACCCACCTTCTGCTCTTCGTAAACTTGGTATTTCAGAGTTTTCGCCGAGACGTGCCGTGCCAATATCACGAGCACAGCAAGTTTACGTAAAGTGGCACAGAACACTGTGCCCTTACTGGTATCCATGTTGGGCTCCGACAGGCACAGAAATAAACTCTCAAAGTGATGGTCGCTTCCTTTGTTGAGCTGTCACAGTCCTTTACACGCGTTGTTATGGTCTCAAAATCATATCCAAATCCGAAAGAAAAACGTCTTCTCAAAAGATTTCGACGTCAAAAACAAGTCTTGAAAAATTAGCAGAGCGCAGGAGCTTAAAACAAGCAATGGCATTAAAACCAAAAGCGCATATCCCTCTGTCACTAACGAGAAATCTGTTGCACGTATCAAGAGACTGGAGCGCAACCTCCGTCTGGAGAGACTATGCGCGCGCGTATCTGTCTCCCGCTGTCTGAAGACTCTCGTTGACTGACTAACCCAAAATAGCAAAGCTTCCTTTAGAGCCACGGCTTCAGACAAAACGCTTCTCCTAAACCAAGGGCTGCCTCTTCTCTCTGCGACTGACCATTCAACACAAAGCCACTATAGATCCCAATTAAATGAAGGGGAGAAAGGACGTGGATAACTCCGCCCTTTAGGGTCTCCTCCTCTTCTGAACGCGCTTCAACAAAGGATGAGAGCAGAATTTAAGAATAACTCGAGATGAACATTCCCTCTAGATGACTGTCAATCCAATTTATTCACTTAATATTTAACTCTATTTTAGGATAAGCATAGTAGAATGTCATTTTGGCAAATTTGTGCAGCTACAGCAAAGATGCATTCATAATGTGGCCTCGTTTATGAATCTGTGTGTTGGGTGAGAACTGTTCTATCTGTAACTCAGTGTTTTTAAACACTTAATATAATATATAATATAAATATGTGACTATAACATTCCCATACTTTTCTGATATAAAATAGTTTTGAAACATTATGCATCCCTAGATTGTTTAAATTAACATCAAATATGAAGAGTGCAGTTGTAAAAATGAAAAGATTAGGTACCATTAGGGTTCCCAAAATCATCATGCTAGAGAACCAATAGGCATCTTTAAAAAAGAGAGCAACTTGCAAGATGAGTTCCTGCAAGAATTCCCAAAAATACTAATGGGATATATAAGACACCTTCTAAAAGTTGCATAAAGGTTCTCCAGAGCATTCTGGTAGCATGGAAATGTGGGGAACCCCAAATAGTGTGGTGGACTGTAACACCAAATTAAAAAATTATTATGCACGGAGGGAAGTGTGCTGCTCTGACATATAAAGGACTGTTGTGCTTTTGGTGTCCTTGGGTTCAAGTCATGTCCTAGTCCTGTTCCACCTATTGCTTCCTGCACTTTTCATTTGCTTCTCCATCATCCTGTATACACTATATAAACAATTAGGCTAATAAATATACAATCCAATCAAATAAAAATTGGAAGCAAATACAGAACTACGACCTGAATTTTAAATACATATAACAGAGTGTGTGTTAGTCTCATGATAATGTCAAATGTCGGTCCCTAGAAGTACAATGGAAAGGAAAGTGTTACAATCTGGTCAACTACAGTATTTCTAATTTAATATCTAGATGAAAAGCTTGTGTAAATGCTATGATGTTGTGCACATCAAATTATACAAGAGAACCTGCAGTTCTTTAACATCCATTACCATAATCAAGACAGACATTCAATTCTACTTCCTTAACTCAGAATTACTATCATTTTTTTTCCCACATAAATCTTACAACTTCTATAGTCACCTCATGGGAGTAGTGCATATCTATTTTCACCCATGTAGCTCAATTCTAATTGGTTAAACTGGTGTTAAAACACTCTTACAGCAGATGCTTACACTAAAACATCACTTATAGGTCATTCATTTTGGACGACTAGACTAATCTTTGTATCAGCTGTCAAATATGGTTCAAAAACTGCTTACGTGCCTTTCTTAAATCCTTTTAGTGTCACCCGCTTTCCCTTTCTGGGGTTCAAGTATTCTCACGCGCTATACCGACTCCTCATCTGCCATACGTTTGAGTTCAAGCTGTGTGTCGAATCACTTGTTCTGGTGAATGAGTGGGAAAAAAAAAACTCGCTCACGCGCACAAACAGCTCTGCTCACGTGAATAATAAGGTTTTACATCGCGTGCATGTCTTTTGGCGTGGTTCCCGCAAAATGTATTAACCTAACATCCATGTAAGCGCTTAAAAAAGTGCACAGTCTGGACCGGATCATCTGTGCCTGGTCATTTGCATTTGTGCATGGTTCATATGGTTCCTCTTTGAGAGAAAGCTTTCTATGAGTCTAAACAATAGAGGGAAATTAGTTCAGTTTGAAAGTGCAAAAACGGGGACAATTCAATTGCTCTATCACGCTCACGGGCAAATGGATGAATCAAATACATGAAATGGCCTATTTCCTGACTCTCACTCAAATTCCCATGGTGATATGTTAACCCGTGAAAATGTAGCCAACCATATCAAACCCACGGAAGTTGGGCTTGGATTAATAAACCCCCTTTGGCGACAGATTTGACACAAATGCTGCTCCTCTTTTCCCAATTCTGGAGTTCCATGTGCTTTAACAAACCAAAAGGGCCCATACTGAGACACTGGGGTATTCTAGCGACTGTTTGGGAAAGCGATTACCGGGAAATTTCAGCATTACCAGAAGGCGCACGTTTGACCCCGACACTCTCTTTTGTTTAGTTTATTCTTTTCATAAGACGCAGTGTTTGCGAATCGTCTGCGTTTCGCCCGGCCAATTTTAGCAGGGCGATTTTAACCAGGTTTGATACGGCCGAGCGCTTGGCTCCGAAGCCTTAATGCAATTACCTCTGCTGTAATCACATTGCCTGAACAAAGACGTCAAAGTCTTTGCTAAATTTGGGGGGGTTCTGGAATGCCCGCAATGTTGCATGAAAAATCACACAGTCTAAACGAAGCGCGATAAGTAAAAACAGATGCACAGTCAAATGCACTTGGACACGGTTTGGCTTATACATTTTTTATTTATTTTTTAATCCCTCATCTGACATAACCCATTTAAACTCGCGAACAATGCGATAATGAAACTAATACATTTAAGTGAAAACCAACTTGAGAGGCAGGTGCAACTTTGACATATATCAAATATTTTTAGCTTTCAAGAAAAAAAAAAAAGAGAATGTCTATGACTGATTAGGCTCAAATGGCATAATGAACAAGTCGACGAGCAAAGAGCATCTGCATGTTTGGTGCTAGTACAAATTTACGACACCATACGGGGCCACTGCGTCTCAATCTCCCTGACAGAGGCGCATCCCCCGCATGTGCCATAAAACCAGGCCACGGATTCAACTTTTGTCATTGATATTCTGTCCTTCTCCAGCCATACAAAGGCCGCATCATTTGGAATGCAGGCCAAATGAGGTCCAAACTTGCGCGCGAACTTTGCTTCTAGTGTCGCTGGAATGCGTGTGAACGAGCGCGCGCTGTCGTTGTAAAGGTGTCTGTCTCATTATCCCTCATTCGATTAGCGCTCTCTCTTTCAAGGCGGGCTGCGTCTCGCTTTCTCAATAGACCCCCGGTCACAAAGGTCTCTGACAATGTACATTGTTATTCATACCAGGCCATAGAGCAAACGTAGTGCTCTCCCCCCGGTTGGAACGGACTTTTACTGCTTTATGAGTGGGATAACAAGACTCGAGAGTCTGTTTGCTCGCGTGATGCATGTAGTGCGCGTTCTTAAAAACACTGTATTGAGCTTCATGTCGCGGTGAGGGCGACAAATTTATTGCTGTTCTTTAACAGTAGCCCACTATGGTAATCCAGCCCCGCTATAAAACCACAAGTTTGTGTATGTACTGGCTAATTTGTGGAAATGATATGACAGCTGCACTCGAGGGCCACCCTCAGCTATACTGTGTTGCTAATGCTGCCAGTGAGAGTTTATGCTTACAGTGCAGAGAGAACGTAATACTGTCCTTTAATATTTGACTGAAATCAAAGTTTGCATATTGTATGAATAAAAAGCCTTGGGTACATAGTTCCCAAGTCAGAAATCCTCAAGGAAAGTGATTCCATTTGAAAATCTATCATCATTTGGAATTAAACCTAAACTGTCCTGATGGGATCAAATAAGATCCTACTGTATAAAATGAAATACCCACAGGATTTTCTGTTCTATACTGTGAAATCTTTATCAGAACCCCACATGTTTTAGAGCAATCTCCTGCTGTTACAGTCAGTTAAAGGAAATGATCAGGAGCTAAAGGTATCATTTCAGTTTTTTTTTCCGTACTTTATTAGGCCTATATTATACATGTTTTATACATATACAATAAAGCACAACCTTAAAGTACTTTATTGCTGTTACTTATAAATGGACATTTTATTCCATTAATAATCGCAATAGTCCCACTGGGAACCATGTGTTCTAAAATATCTCATCTTCTTTGTTTATTACTGTGCACTGCCAGAAAAAAAAAAGGTATACATCTTGTCACTGGGACAGATCCTTACCATACACCTTGAGGAACTAATATGTACTAAATGACTTTAGAGGTTGGTAAGTTACAAAGGTGTATCTTTTGAGGGTGTTGTTCCAGTGTCAAGCCATTGCACCATTTAAAGATGTCTTTTTTTTTTTCTTACAGAGTGCTATGTTGGAATCTGTTACGACAATTTCTAGTAGTATCCTTTAGGATTGAGTCCAAATTATGTCTAATAAAAATTCCAAAGAAATTAATTCAAGATTTTGTTGCATATTTCATTGCCAAGAATTTCTCTTCTCTGTTCTTGGAGAAAAAGGTCACTCTTACTCCTGAGTTTTTTTGAGTCTTGAGTCAATGTCATGCACCTCCCTAAAGCCATCCACACACACACACACACACACACACACACACACACACACTCACACACACACACACACACTCACACACACACACACACACTCACACACACACACACAC